GGAGCTGTCATGCCTCACCACCCTCCCCTCCTGCCCCATGCTGAGAGCTGCCTCCCCCACACCACGCCCCTTCCAACCCCTGGCCACCTCCTCACCTGATGCTCCTGCCACAGCAACCTTTCCCAGGCCCGGTGAAGGCTTCATTACACCCCAGGGATGAACAGCCCTCCACTCTGCATGCTGGTGCTGCACTGGAGGCAGCAGTGTTGAGCCAAGCACCCGCAGGAGGGCTTGTGTGTTGACCGGAGCACAACCACTTTCCATAGCTATGTCTGCAGGGCTGATAAAAGTGCTTCCTTCTTGCCTTGAGCTGTGCTTCACCCCGCGGGGCTCAAGGATGGGATGTGGCAGGTATTCACACTGCTGTGTGGGCTCCTAGGGCTAAGAGACGACTTGGTCTGTTCCTGACAGACACATTGCCCATGAGCCCTCTCAGCCCTTCCTTCATCCCCATATTCCCTCTCCAAAATGCCAACTTTCCTCCCTGTGGTGCTCCACCTTTGCTTCACAGCAGCCTTTGCAAGCCAGTTTTCTCTTGGGCAGAATTGCAAGCTTGGATGTCCAGAGGCAGAGCTAATGTGCCCTGGCAGGACTTGGGCCTTTGCCTAGAAGCCCCAAAGCACCTCCTAAGACCTTCCAGGAGGGCCTGTGCTCTGGGAAGAGTGCTAGCCACATTTCCTGCAGTTTCCTGCTCTATCAGGAGCAGGTCTGATGTCAGCTGTACCTGGCCATGATGCTGCTTCCCATCAGCTGGGTCAGGAACCGGCACTTGCACTGCCCCCTGCCCTTGGAGCAGCCGGAGCATGACAGTGAAGTGGGGCACTGCTCCCTGAGGGCACCAGCCTTCCTGGGTGTTGTCCTGAAGAGGAAAGCCTTTGGCCAGGATGGAATAACCTTCTCACTCAGGAGTCTGGGGACATGCAACGCAGTCACAACCTGCTAATGAGCCCAGGAAGCAAGGCAGAGTGTTTGCTTGACAGGGCAATTAAATGATGATTGATTCCTGGAACAGCTACTTAATTCATCATTAACTGGGCTTATCATAGTCAGCATCTGTGCCAAGGGTCTTTCTGAGAGCTGTGCTGCTGCTAGTGGGGGTGGCCAGCGACCTGAGGACCTCTCATGTAGGAGCAAAACACTCAGAACAGTCCCGAGGGGATCTGGACTGCCCCAGGGGATGTGGTGTGGAGGTGAGAGCCTTGAAGCACAAAGCTAAATTTCTACCTCTTTATTTTCATGCCTTATTTTGGCTTCTGTTAGCCAGTACTCACCTTGAGAAGCTAACAGTACACAATGCAGTTGTGCATTTCCCACTATGCTGAGGACCACTGCAACCTGCATGTGCGTTTGTATGTGTACATCCTCCCTGTGCACCTAACAGCATCTCACTGCCAGTACTGCCCAGACGAGCCCTGTGGAGCTGATGGGTATGCACGCCATCCAGTCACGCTGGTAATGAGGATGGAAAATGACCACTATTCACCAATTTTGTCTTTTACAACTTTCTTGCTTAGATCTGCTGGCTTCATTCCTCTTCCCCAAAGCCTGGTTATTACCAGACTTACTTTATTACTAGGCTTATTTTATTATGGGGCTTACTTTATTAAGTCCCCGTGTGGCTAAATTCACTGTAGGATCCAGATAATCCAAAGGGGGTTTGGGTGTGACTGCAGTGCTTCCCCTTGTGTATGCACATGGGGCTGATTCTCACTATCCCTGCCATTCCCTCTCTAATATCATCTCTAGAGGTTTGATGGCCCTTGTCTCTACCTGCAAACCCAGACCATTTGGCACATGCAAGCACACATGCTTGCACACACAGGCACAATCTTTATGTGATGCAGTGATCTTGGTGACTAAGGAGTGGGAAGCATCTCTAACCCTTCCGGTACTGGGACTTTCACATCAGGTAACAGAGAGGGAGGTCTCAGCCTGGCTGCTTCCCAGCAGGGCTGAACATGCTGCTGTAGGCATGCTGTGACGCTGGCTCTCAGTGTCACCTCCCTACTGCCAGCAAATGCTGGGACCAGGTGTTAGGGCTGCACTTGGTGATTCCTTTGCCTATTTATGAGAAGCACAGTGAGAACTCCTTCTGCACTTTTCCCCTCATCCCTGCAGCCCTGTTATTGCCCCACCCTCCTCCCAGGGAAAGCATCATCCCAAGCTCCCAAGAGTGGAAGGCAGAAAGGAAAAGAGAATTTAGTACAGGTAGATCTTTTATAATCCCAGAGGGTACAAGACTAGCATGGACCAAAATCTTCTAGCTGTAGCCCTACCCTGTCCATACTTAGTGCAGTGCAGCAGCCTCTGAGGCCCTGGCCCTGCTCTAGGGACAGCTTCAGGGCAGTTTGGGGAACCAGAGAGGTGTGGGCTCTCCCTGCTCCACCAGGGCAAAGCCTTCAGCCCTGCCCAGCCCACATTCACAGAGACTTCTCCATGCTTCAGCAGTATTTTCCTGCTGTTTCTTTTGCTACCCACACTTTTACTCTTCCAAAGTGTGTTCACCCTGGGGTATTTGCTGCCTGAAGGCCCTCCCTGCCTCTTCCCCCCAGCCCAGGTCAGCCAGCCATGTCCCACCAGCTGGCCATTTTAGCATCCTTTGGGATGCCCAAAGTCAGCAGAGTCCATATCCAGCAGCAGTACAGATGCATAGGTGCACTCTTTCCACTCCGGTCCATGATACCTGTCACCTCCCAAGCTGCTGTTTAGGTTTCCAGTCCCTCCTGGCTCCTTTCCCTTCTTCCCCCCACCCCTCCCAGTGCTCTGAGTGTTTCCCAGTGCTTGCTGCTGTGAATATACAGATTTGCCACATAGCTCTCCCCCTCCTCTAACCTGCTGCCGAAGACCTGAAGTGAGCAGAGCAGCAACCTCCGCGCAGACAGCACCTGCTGCCCGGTGGCCGGCAGCCTTCCCACATCCCATCTGCTGGCATTTCTCAGCACATTCAGAGATGGCTCCCTACAGCAGCTCTCAGCAAGATCCGATCCCTCCCTACCCTAGCTTGCTCCCAGAAACATTTCTTGACATGAGGTGTGGATGCCCTATTGAAACTGTCAACTTTCTCTTGCTAGAGCTAGGTTTTCACTGCTGCTTGGGCTGCTGCTCTCAAATGACAGTGTGACTGGTGTCTCCTTACTGTTTCATTAAAAAGCAAGATATTCTGCTGGAAATCTAATTTACATGTTGAGATAAGTGAAGAAGAGGTTCATGCTTTCCTTGCCTGAAAACCAGGATGAAGCTTTGAGCTTCTCTGAGTCTGTGCAGAAAATAAAACCGTCTGTGCTACAGATAGGCATCCCTTAAATATTTTGAAAATACTTAATGGCCATCTGCTGCATGAGCCATTACAGGCTTTATTAGTAAGGTGGAGAGTGCAGAAAGCAGAGAATGGTTTTGGCGAGGGCAAAGTGGAGGGCATTCGCCAAAATATGCAGAGTTGTAACAGCGTGACTGCTTTTAAATGGCTCCATTTTCCTGAGCAGTTTTCCAAAATGTGACGTCTGCTGTCAAAACAAAGCCCATCAACAGGGCCATTTAAAACCAGGTATGGCACTCAAACCTATGCAGTACGGCCAAGGGGATGGGACCACTTGGACTTTTCACTCTCTGGAATCTTTAACTCCAACTTCTTTATTTATGATTTCTTCTTGAGGACAGATTTAAAGCCAAGGTGATGTACTTTCTATCAGAAAGTCTAGTGCACCTTGGGGAACCCTATAACAAGTGGAAGCGTGTCTCTGCTACATAGCATCCTGCAGAGGTGGCAGTGACAGAGGTCTCCGAGGAGGGCAGGAATATTTGGGGTTGCAAGGCAGTAAGGTGGCACGGTCTAGGAGCTGGGAACGTGCTAGAGAGAGGCTGTAAAACACAAAGCTTAGGTACTGAAGAGTGCAAAGTAATTGTTTCTCTCTCCTGGGGAACGCTGATATTTCAGTACACGTTTTCTTTGTGCCAAGGTGGGTTGGGAAGCCAAAATAGCGAACGCTCCTCTGAAGAAAAGGGGTTGAAATATTTCATCTCAGAAATTTTCATGGAAAAAAAAAAAAAGCAGCACAAGATTTCAGCACTCTGAAATGGAGGAAAGGAGAGAGGGCTGAATTTCCCTGGGGAAGAAACCCTTGTTGACATTAGTAGCTGAAGATGCCATTTGGACTCAGCATTTTCTGAAGTCGGTGGCCCAAAGCCAGGGCTACATGACTGCTGCTGTACCCAAGGGTGGAGCTGCTTTTGAGCAGGGCTCTAATGTGGTGGGTCATTTACTTAAATTGTAATTTCAATGTGGATCAAACCCCATGGGGTCTCCCCTTTAACCTCCACTTCCCTCAGTTCCTTCCCATGACTGGCTGAGCATCCAACACTTCCCACGCCAGCCTAAATGCCACTTCCATGTCCTCACAGCAGCCTCCTGATTTCCCTCGATGGCTCACTGCTCTTGCCCCAGCCCTAGCTCAGCCTTGGAGGAGCCCTAGAAAATCTGCTATGTACCTGAAAGCCAGTTAGGTGCATGTGTAATGCCTGGAGGGCTGTAATTCACCATGGACCCTCCACTTTGGGAAGTCAGGGAGGCCCCTCAAGTGGCTGTCAGCCTCTTATCTACTGCTGTGCTGTCTGTTAGGCTTTGTCGCAGCACACATAATGAACCAGCAGAAAAGATGCAGTAGGTCCTTTCCTGTCAGGCTGCACGTGGCCATCTCAAGATGCATTATAGATACAGCAAATCCTCATCTTAATCCAGCCTGAATCAGATAATTTTGTTGCAGGGCTGCATCCTTATCTTACTACCAGCTGGGGAGAGATGAAGAGATGTTCAGTTTGCCGAGATAGCATTCAAGCTGTGGAGAGGTGGGGAGGGCTCTTGTTTTCTCCAGCATTGCCAAATCTTTCTGTTCCCACTAGCCTCGTCTTGATATCGTCTCTGCATGGGCGAGAGGCTTTTCTGCTCCCTTGCTTCGCTGAAATAACAGTCTTCTCCCTCCCACTCTCTCTGCTCCTGTAGGATCGCTCCCCCCCCCTGCCGCCAGCAGCATGGAGAGTGTGCGTGAGCTCCAAAACCCACTCTTGGCCAAGGCCAATGGGCACCTTCGCAGCAGCTATTCTTACCACCAGCACCACAGCCAGGACTATCCCAGTCACTGTCAAGGGAAATTGTATTCCTACATCTTCCAAAACACTGGTGGTGCCAGGACTCACCAGCTGCTGGATGCCAGCTCCCTGCAGCTAGCCGTTGAAGCCTTGTACGGCCCCAATTTCATCCTCGTGAAGGATGAGACTGCTCTCAAGGCCAAGGACAGCAAGACAGAGAGCTGTGAGACCACTTTTATGGAAAGCAGAGAAGCTCCAACTGAAGGTCCCAATGGGCACGAGGCACAAGGGTCCTGCCTGGTAGAGAGCGACATTCGCATCCAAACTGTGTCCTATGAGGTGGAGGAAGAGGAGCTCCAGGAGTATGAGGTGAGCTTTGCCAGGTGGGATGGCACCAAACTCCTCCTCTGGTAACTCTGGCCATTGGCTCAAGTTCTTGGTCATTTATTCTCCCTTATTTCCCCAGAGCTTCCCCCCTAGACCCTACCATCTCCTGCCTCACCAGCCTCTCCCTGTGCACCCAATATTTCTCATCATCATCATTTCTGCTCCATTTTCCTTACTGCAGAGCTCAGAAGGAGGTCAGCTTCCCGGAGGGCAGCCTGGCTGCATGCCTGCTGGGAGCAAAGGGGAGGTGGGGCCATCTCTGCAGGACCCTTGGGATATGGGGACCCTTTGACAAGGGCAGCATGCTGCCACTGTGGCACTTGAGCTAAGGGGAAATAGCAATCCTTGCATAACTGCAAAATTCACATGCCTGATGGCAGCAGCCGAGAGAAAGCTTTATATATAAAGACAGGATGAATTCTGTAAAGAATGAAAGCTGACAAAGCAGCCTCATGCTGTGCTCTGTGCCCCACCATGGCTGGAGCAGCGGTACAGAGGCTGGGAACATCATCCAGGACCTTGAGAGGTGTCAGCAGGTCCCCAGACCTCACTGGAGCTGATGTCTGATGACCCAGCACAGCTCTGCTGCTTTTGGTGCCAGTGGTGTGACCTTTCCAGACAGCATCAGGGGCATCCCCACTCTGCATGCCTTCCCCACTGAGGCACATCGCTTCCAAGCTGGTCAGTGGCTGGCTGAGCGGTGCCCAAAGGCAGGAGGGCTGACTGCAGCCACTCTGAGCAATGTGCTTGCTAAGGGGACAGGACACGTTGCCCCTGTGGTGGAGGCTCCAACTCAACCGCTTTCCCTCACTTGCTAAATTAGTTTAGTGGGATATCGATCTCCTAGTCCCTAATGGGGATAAGGCACTTTGTTTAAGTTTGTTTAAGCTGACAAACAGCCAGTTCTGCCAAAGCTGAAGATATTTCAGTTTAAGACTATCTATCTCCCAGGGAAATCCCAGACCCCCAGCAAGCGAGCTCAGCGTTTGCTCTGGCAGGGAGCCGAGAATTCACTCTGCTCCTGAATTTGCTGAGCTACATTTTTTCTCATCAAAATGATGAGAGGAGGCTGAGGAGGCTAAAATATTTTTGAAATTCATTCCTTGAATTTGCAGGTGGGAAACGTGTGAGAATATGTGATGGGGCTAGGAGAGAGCAGGAGCTGGGGGGAGGGGGTCTGAGATGCAGCCTGTGGAGCGGCATGGGGAGGTGGGCATGTGCTGAATCCATCTGGTTTTGCAGAGTGACTCCTCCAGCGACAGCGAAAGTGAGGATCATTTCCTGATGCTTCCCCCCCGGGACCACCTGGGCTTGGCCCTTTTCTCCATGCTGTGCTGCTTCTGGCCGCTGGGGATTGCTGCTTTCTACTTCTCCCAAGGGGTAAGAGATCCCTTTGCTTGCCTGCATACACTGAGTGCTGGACCAAAGGGACTGCAAGCCACAGCAGCCCTGGAGGGGACTGAGCACCTTTCTGGCTCTAAGACTCATCTCTGTGCCATGCCCAGACTCCTGAGGGCTGAGGCAATGGTTGCTCCTGGCTCCTGGATGTCTCCACAACTGCTGTGGTGTTGCAAGCCCACCAGCCCTTTTGCAGATTACTGGAGGTCAGACTTATCCTTTGGGTCTTTCAGGTGTTATTTAGGGATCTGGGGCTCCCCTTAGCCCCTTGCCCAGGTTTTCACCCTCCAGCCAGGCTCAGGAAAATGTAATTTTCTCACCTACTTTCCCATCCTCCAACAGTGCGGAAGTCCTACACCATGACCCAGCCTGAGACAGCTCTTGCCCCGGGAGTCAGGCTGCTCTGGAAACTGGAGGCAAAAAGGAGCCTGGTCTCCTTATCACACTACAGCTCCACTATTGCATTTGTTTCTGACATATTGGCTAAGCTGTGTGAGCCAATGCCAAGATGGCAGGGGGTGATGAGAGAGGTGGCTCTCAGGCTGCACCAGCTCTGAGGAGCTGCTGCCTCCTTGAGGGCTTAGCCCTGAGCCTGGGCTCACTTACATTACTGTTGACCCAGAATAATTCATGCAGAGCCAGGGGATTTAGCCTACGTTTGCACAGGTAGAAACAGAAATGGAAAAGTATATCACATGAGTACCTGGCACAGAGGCGGTGAGAGGTGGGGAAGCTTGGACCCCGATGAGTGTTTGATTTCATATTTTGCCATGTGGTGCAGGGTAGGTGGTGCACTCCCCACATGATGAGGTACTTTGTGCGGTTTACATTTAGCTCCATTTGCTATAACTACAACTTTCACTCACTCCATGAGGCAAGGACCATATCTTTATTCAGTGTCTGTGCACAGTCAGTGCCCTGACCTCCACATGGCAACCTGAACACAAATAGGTAATACCAGGAGTAGCTCTGAATGTGCCCTGAGCACTCAGGGAAGCTGGAAGTTGCCTGTCCAGAGAGTCAGCACCCATATCTGTCTCTATTGCTGGCTCCATCAGCCCTTCTATGGCAAATAGGCTTCAGCTGAAAACCTCACACAGGCAAAATCAAGTGGCAGCACAGCCAGACCAATGGGCCATGCTGTCTGGAATCAGCTCCCTGAGACTAGGCAGTACTCGTTATATGTCTGTATAGGGTATATTGGCATCTAGTCAGCACCACACAGCCATCACCCCATGCACCAACTGTTTGCCTGGTCTTACAAGGGTCCAGCTGCCCACACAGCTCTGGCTGAGTGCCCAGATAGCTGGGGCTTTCAGACAAACAGCCAAAGCCCACGCTTCCCTTGGAGGCAAAATCGACAGGGAAATGTGTGTAGGTGACACTGCTGTGCTGAGCCCTCCTGGACTGATGGACCCTTGCTGTCTATCCCCAGCCTTCATGGGATGAAGTGTCCGAGAAAGGGGGACTGCTCAGTACTGAAACAACTGCATGCAGGCTAAAAGGCTGGATTGGTACTACTGTGAGCAATGAACATTTCTTCTCTTTCCAGACCAGCAAGGCTGTCTCCAAAGGAGATTTTCATCTGGCCAGTTCAGCTTCCCGTCGAGCTCTCTTCCTCGCCGCACTCTCCATAACCATTGGCACAGGAGTGTACGTCGGGGTGGTGGTAGCACTGATCGCTTATCTCTCCAAAGGGGGCCATGTATAGCTGCCACCCACATGTCAGCACCTCCCCAGCCACTGGCCCTCCTGGGATTTAATTTTTCTGCGGAACACAGGGCACCAGTGCCTGCAAGGGCTGCTTGCACAGCGGGACCCTGTCTTGGATGCCCTGCACAGGCTCTTTCCTTTTTCAGACAAACAGTAGACCCCCGTTATCCCCAAGGCTGGGGTGCCACCATCTGACAGCAGGGAATTGGGCACCAACCTGGCTACTGGAATCAAGGGGAGCATGTTTGCCTACTGAAAGACGTGTAGGAGAGATTCTGCGTGTTGCTGCTGAGCTGGTGCCATCACCTCTGTTCTAGGGCCATGGCTTCCCCTCCCAGCCCCACAGCCAGGAGATCTACCACTGGTGCCCAGGCTTAGCCCATGAAGGGGGCACACAGGGAGGAGAGGGGATACAGTGCCAGGAAATGACTCTGGGCGGCTGGGGTCCTGGTGGGGTCTCCAGACTCCCATGATGGGGACAATGTTCTTATTTCAGTGCTATGGGGTGGCACCTGGCCCCTCAACTGCAACAAAGTCAGAGGACACAGCATGGACGTGACCAAAGGGCATGCTCTCCTTGTCCCTCTGCAGACAAACCCCTGATCCAGGGGATATCCTGGTAGCTCGTCCTCCCTAGGCAATAAACAAGAAGGAAGACAGGCTGGTGGTTGCACACCATCACTCCCGTCATTGGGACAAGCTGGCAAAGACAACAAGGTTTTCTCTTTAATAATAATTGTCACAATAATTGCAAGTCGGAGTCCCCATAAAGTTGGCATCCCACAGTGCTGGGCCTTGAAAAGACTTGTAATAGCAATTTCTACCCAAGAAACAGCCTGGGAGGGGTGGGGACCTGCAGGACTTTACTCTTGACACTAGGTCAGGGCCTTGCACACTAAGAGGGATGGAAAGAAAAGGCTGATATGACATGCAGAGCCTGGGGTGGGAGTGCTGTTTGCAAGGGGATGAGATGCAGAGAGGGGAAGACTTGGAGGGAGCCCAAGACACTTCACTTGGGGTGACCCCAATACACTTCTTCCCATGCCTTGGAGAGGAGTATGTCCATTCATCCAAAGGGTCTCCTGACAAGGAAACCCCAGAAATCCCCACTTACATCTTACTTTTGCTAATTGGTAAATTGTCAGTGACATGTCAAGTGCTTCAGAGGCAGGTGTGAGGGCAATGGCTGCCCCAAAGGGCTGGCATTAAAAGGCCCTGCCTCACCCCAGCTCCTCAAAATCCACCTTGACCCTCCCTCACTTTGGCCATGGCTCCCCTGATGCCTCCTTCCCCCATGTGCATGGGGCTGCAGGCAGACTCTGGGCACCCATCACCCCCTTCCCAGGGTTTCTGGGCAGGCTGCAGCCAGCTCTGCAAGAGGCGCAGCATGTTCCTCCAAGAGGGTGCCATTCAAATGTACATTTCATCCTAAAGAAGCATGTTAATGTCTGCAATTGCTGTTGTACTTGAGCCATAAGAGAGAAGCACATCAGAGACCTGTTCAGAAGCTGGTCTGAAAGTTTCCATTACGTTTTATAACATGGAAGAGCTAATAAAAAAAGCAGGAGAAAAGCCTCTGTTTATAAGGACATGGAGATGGCTAGTGAAGAGGTGAGCTTTGCAGGAGAGCTGAGCTCACTTAAACCTGGATATGTTTATGCAGTTCCCGAAGGAAGTTATAATCCAGCTGGTGTCTGGGCAACTTGGAGGGAGATGTACTGCAATGTAGATCACAGCGAGCAGCTAGCGCTGGGAGCAGGATGGTGATGTAGGCTGTTTGCCATATGTGGATGGACAAGAATTAGGGAGAGACGGAAAGACTGGAGCCTCATGTATGTTCAGGCTGCTCCATGTGCAGTAGAAGCACAAAATAAAATGTGCTTCAAGTGGGGCAGAAGAGTACAAACATCAGGAGGGAATAATCAGGTCTTGCTTCTAATGGTGGGCAGAGAGAGACAGAATTTGCAGGGAAGGACTGGGGTGTCAAGAAGAGATGAAGTGTCTTGGAGAGGAGGTTCATCCTCACCCAGCAGCCGAGCAATAGTGTTCATTCCCCTCTCTTCTGTGTGCTCAGCCTTCCTGGGCATCTATGCCTCCAAATAACCCAAGCAGGACAGGAGCACTGTTTCAGGAGAGGGGACATCCATGGGTGGCCATGCAGCACAAGTGATCAGACCCACCACCCCCTAGTTCAGTGCAAACCCAGCTAAAGCCCTCCCCTCCTCTCCCCTTTGAGCATCCCCAGCTGGCTGCTGGGGTGCAGGGGTGGAGGAATCCCTACTGATTCTGGACCAGAGAAAACCATCAGAACTGCTGGACCAGAACCGGCAAAGAGAAACTGTTTTCCTCTGAATTTGTAATTCTGCCAGATGGTTTCCTCCAGGGGCTGCCCTGGGTGGGGGGCCAGCAGCCCTCAGCCCACTCACCATGGGCACCGCATCCCCCTGTACCCCAACCCACATCTTTGTCTTTTTTTAATTGGAGATGCACAGGGAAGGACCAGGCTAAAGGGCCAACAGAATTAAAGTGTTTTCCGCTAATAGCCTGAATCTCTGATGATCTTGTCAAAGCGGGGGAAGGGGCTGTGCCAGAGCATCCCTAAGGGGGGCATTATGCAAATGGAGAAATTAGTTGGAAACAGCCTGAAGGGAAACATGTGGAAATTGAAATCCGAGGACCAGCATGGAGACTGCTGCTGAATAACTTATTATAGACTCACAGCGTCTGCTGCAGCCGCCTGAGCAGAAGGAAAGGAAGCAAAAACGCAACAAGGAACAGCAGTCAGGGAAGACACAAGCTCCAGAAATTTTATTGAGCTTAAAAACCCTAAATGCTAAACTAAACCCTGCCAGTGGGCATGGAAGTGGTGACTTTTCAGCCCCTCTCTCCTGTCCTCCCAGGGGATGGGTACCTCTCCCACCCAGGACCCCAGTCCCATGGCAGACCTCTGTAATGATCCTGATCTCACAAGGGGATACTCAGAAATTTGTGGTGAAAGAGGAATAACCTCCACTTTTGGCCTGGCAACATTTCTAGCCCAGGAAGGAGAAGGGAGTGCAGGGGTCTGGCACGTCACATCTGTGGGAGGTGACACAAAGGGCAGGGAGTGCAGAGACAGTCTGTGCCCATGCAGAGGGGCAGTGGTGGAGTGGGATTCCTAGTGGCTGGTGAGGGAGGATTTGGGGTTCTCTGAGCTGAGGGTGGAGGGAGTTGGTTAAATAGTGATGACCTATAAGTGTGTACACCACAACCTGCTGTCCTTCCCCACTTATTTTCTAAAAAATAAGCATGAGATGCTTGTGATATATCACATGATATATCATAACAAGCACCCCTTCGCTATTCATGAGTAATAGATTATCCATAATGAGGACATCTATTTCAACTGTGCTCCTCAGTGGGCTGCAGGTGCCTGTCCCTGTGAATGCAAGTGCTGTCTGGCACCTCCAACACAAGCATGGTCCTGCAACCCCCTGGCTGCAGCAACCCTCTCTCAGCGTCCCCTTGACCACTGCTCCCCACATGTCCCTGCCCTGGCCCCGTGACCCCACCAACACCCCCAGCCCTTGACCTAAGCCAGTGACACCAACAAACAGACACAGAAAGTCACCAGAAAGCCCATCCCCTACCCCTCTCCCATTGTTCGTGCACAAACACCCCTCTCTCATCTCACACGCTGGGGCAGTTTTTGGATTGTGAGAAGTGCCATCACTGGGTATCCCAGACGCCATCTCACTATGAGGACAAGACTCTGGGGGTGGAGTCAGCCCCAGTCCCCACAGCTGGCTGAACATGCCCTCTATCCCTTCCCTGCCCTAGGGATGCTCAGGAGCTCAAAGCAGTGCTGTCAGAGGTGCCCTGGGCTTTCATTTATTTTCCCAGCATTGGAAAATATGTTGTCTTCCAGCCTGGGCTCCTTTTGTAACATTTGCAATTTCAGGGTGAGCACTTCCAAACCGTCCTTTCTCTTCAGAAGCTAAGAATGGGGTGGACGGAGCCTGTGCCAGGGCGGGGGTGGCCTTTGAATTCTGCCTCCTTCTGGGATGCAGCCAGGAAGAAAGCTGCTGAGGAAAAAAGCACCAGCGCCTCAGCGCAGATCTGAGCGATCAACGCATCTCAGCCACCGCCTGCTTCCCCCAGCTCTGCTCACACTGTTCGCCCCTTGCCAAGCACTGCTTCATGCTGAAACAGGGCCGCTGGCTACAGATGGGGGCTGGGGAGCTGGGATGGGGTCGTGCTGAATCTCACTCCTCTTCCCACAGAGATAAAGCAAGAGGATGGAGGACAAGGGAAAAGGAGCTGGTACAGTTTGTGGGGAACAGAAGATCCATGTGGTACTCTGTCCTCAGCCCAAGGTATCCACTGGGGCACTGGTCCTCCCATATCCTTCCAGCCAACCTGCCCCTCCTCAGAGTCAGCCCTGAGGTGGGCGATGTGGAAACCCCTAGGGCAGGATGCAGGGTGTCCTTCCTGCAGTGTTCCTGGCACCTTCATCTACCTGGGAGAACAAAGCCCTTGCAGAGGCAAAGCTGCTGCCTGCTCTCCAAGCAATGCCTATCAGTGGAGTGGGATTGCAATAGTGCTGGTAGGGCAGAAATACCCGATTCTTCCCCCACCTGTCCTATGGAGGCTGGAGAGAAAAGAGACACAGGGAAATAAAAGTGGAGTAAGTCCTTCATCTCACTTAATGTCACAGTCAGTACTTTCTCCTCACAGCATTCCAGTAAGGAAATAGCTAATTATCTGAGACAGCAAATTTTCTATTCCTGTCAAAAAAAAAAATTAAAAAGCATTTAGCAGTGCATCTCTTTGCCTAGCTTATCCTTTCCCCTTTGCTCCCAAAAAACAGCCTGCAGCGGAGAGAATGCGGGGAGGCACAGCCTGTGGCAATGCCATCCCTCCTGGGGCTGGCAGGAGAGGATTTTTGCAGAGAGAAGCCAATTAAGAGCCATCACCCAGGCATCAGGTGCTGTGAAATCAGGAGGCTCATTACCTCTCCTCTCCCCACAGACGAAGGCACCAGCTCCCTCTTCCACAGCTTCTGGCAGCCATGCATGCAGGAGTGCACTTGGTGGGGCCGAGCTGTCCACATCAGGCAGGAAGACAAGTGGTGCCAACTATAGCACTGCATAGCCCCCACCCCACTGTCCCCCTCCATATCCCTGTGGTGGCCAGGCACAGGGATGTTTGGGGACCATGTCTGCAGATGTGCTGCTTCCCTGAGCTGACTTTGGTTTTACTGTAGTTGGGGCCCAGGCTGGGTCTCAGAGGCAAGGGCTTTGCAAATGAACCACAGCTGCCCTTTAGAAGGTGTATCTTAAAAAATATCCTCACAAGTCATACTTTGGGGGCTTTGGAGACTCAAGACTAACAAGTGACAGAAGTGCATGACTTGTGAGCTCATAGGCCAGAGAGGGCCTGTGTCCCCCCACCTCAAATGGGCAGGATTTCCCATTGGGCCAAGCTCCTCTGAGCAGAGGAGCTGGTGTTGACACTCCATCCGTGCAAGAGAGCAGGACAGGACGGAGGCAGTGGCGGAAGAGCTTCTTTTCTCCCTGCACCCCACTGCACTCCGCATGGCTGGGATTTTTCCACCTTTTCTCAGCAAACAAAAGAAGCAGCCACCCAGGCTGGCTTCTGCAGAAAGTATGCTGCTTAGGTCCCATGTGCACTGGGGTCCTTTCTGCTGCCAGCCCTCAGCCCTGGTGCTGCCAGGGGCTGCCTAGCTCCAGATTACTCACTTCCAAAATGCCGTGGTGTCCTGCAACCGCCCTACTGCTGGACACAGACAACACCCCCCTGCCCCGACCCCATTTCTGCCAAAGAGCTTTTCTGGTGGCAGGGCTGTGCTCAGCTTGCTCTCATCCTTGGGAGCCTTTTGGAGGCAGAAATCCCCCCAGCTCCACAAGGGATCCCTCCTTACTTTTGGAGACACGGTGCTTAACTGGATTTTAATCCGTTCAGTGTCTGCTGGCTTCATTTTTAAATCAATCCTGTTGCTTAATCAAAATGTCAGGCAGGACCAATCTCACGGGAGTTGGCATGTAGTTGGAGTGCTGCTTTCTCATGGCATGGAGAACGGAGGGACAGCCTCATGGGCAAGGAGTCTTCCACTGCCCAGGCAGACTCCCTGCCCAGGCTCGCACAGTTGCAGAAGTGCTGGGAAGATATAACTTCATTCTCAAGCTTCTGAGTTTGGTGTCAGGTGTCCATCCTGCCACGATTATGCTACCTTCCCCTAGTGCTGAGGTTACTGAAGCAATGGAGGAGGGATGGGGAGAGGGGCAAAGGAAGAAGCCAGGGAATGAGAAATGAAATGCAAATAAATGCAGTATCTGCCAAAATGCCATCCTCAAAGAAATATATTAAAGTCTAGGCACAGGCAGTAAACTCTTGACAGTATTAGGCTAGAAAGATGGAAGTCTTTCCTTCCTGAAGAGCTTTCATATCTGAGTATTTTCTCCAAAACTGCTGTGTTTTCCAGATGTTGACTGTGCTAAATTAGCATTACACATCATCTCACTTGTTTTCAAGAAGAGGAAAGGCAGGGAATGCTGCATCTGGACCTTAGCCAAACCATTGGGATAGTGCCACATTGATAGTTGTCAAGTGGGGGCTGGTTCAAGAAAGCTACAACAGGTATCAATGGTTACTAATAATTTAGATGATCTGTTGGGCTGGAAGGCAAAATCTTTGAGGATCCATATCAAGACTGATCTTCCATATTTTCAGTAGCAAGACAGCATAGAAAGGAGGGGTGCCTTGGTGCAATTTGCTAATGAAACAAAATCAGGAGGGCTTGGAAATACAAAAGAGTAAAGAGACTGCTACGTTGAAGGCAGGAGGGGTGGAGACAGGATGAAATGCAAGGAGATGCGATGACAGGTTGCCAGCAGGAATTGCTGCTGCAGGCAGGGAGCTCCTTGGCTGGCAGGGACTCAGGAAAGGCCTGAGCCATCACTGCAGCGTGAAAAAGGTGGATCTGACATGAAAATCTACAGGACAAACTGGTTCAGCAAAAATATTCATGAAGGACAACACCAGGGCAGCAGTGGGCCACAGCTGGACTCAGTAAGACATTTTCAGCCACAGTGTGAGAGATGGATTTTAATGGGAAGGAAGCAGAGAGGGTGGTAGTAGAAAAGGGACCAGGGATGTGTCCATGGCTGCTGTGACCGAGGTAGATGGTTCCCCAGAAATACCATGGGGGCACAGGATGAAAAGACTCTCCTCTCAACAGCTAGGTTGGCTCAGCAGTGCTAGTTGATTGTAGCCCAGAGAACCCTTTTTTTTCTTTTTCTCCTCATCTTTTTTCCTTCCCTCCCCACATAGTTATTCTTGATAATGAATTGCTTTTGTGCTTGTCAGCTCAGGAGCAGTTTTGAATAGTGGCACTGACTTTTCTGTCCTCCTGCTACTCCTACATCTCCGCTCTGATGATCCCAGCAAAGCACGGGAGCTGTCTTGCAAATTCCAACCTTTTTGCTACCTTCAGATGC